CTCAGCTGAGCACAGACAGGGCTCCAGGAGAAAGGGGGGTTGAATATGACCTCTGTCAGGCACTGGCTGAACCTGGAGAGGGGGCAGGACCCCCTTTCAGCTGTTTCTGCAGCCTAGGGTCTGTTACCCTATTCCTCTTCCCCTCTTCCTTACCACCCTCAGGTGCCTCCTATTGGTGCTTCAGCCCTGGTGAGCAGGTCTTGGGTCATCAAGGGCTTGGAAACAAGTGATCCTAGAGGGCTTGTCTCCTCTCCTGGGCAGGGCAGACATGCCTTGGTGCCGGCCACACTCTACCTGGACTGAGGTGCCTGTTGGTGCTATGTCCCAAGAGCCATAGTGGGGAGGGGGAGTTGGGTAAAGAACCTGTCTTGAGATCTTATTTCTCTTCCCTTTTCCCCAGTTTTGCCCTCTCTGGTTATTTATTTACGTAGTTCCAGGAGGGCGCAGCAGGAGAGCCCTGATTTTTAATAAATCCTGAATTGTATTTATTAATTTGATTCCAATCTGACTCATCTGGGTTGGTTAGGGTCTTGGAAGGCTGGGCCCAACTGTGAAGGCAAGGGACCAGTCAGAGACAGGCTGGCTCCAGGATCCAGCTGCCCTGGTGGGTCGCCCTCTGGTGGACGGCCGGGAAAGTGCACCAGACTTTGGAAGATGCCTGCCGCTGCCCTCTGGTGGTTAGATGGGAGAAGTTCAAGCTCCGAACATTTTAGAAAGCTGGAGTCCCAGATAACATAGCCTACCAAAGACTAGTAATGTCTCTGCCCTAGGCAAGTCTAATGATAATGATTACCATTTATTTAGTACTTATATGTGGCAGACACTGCTAAGCACTTTATATGCATTATTTCATTTAATACATCAGTCAAGCGAAATAGCTTTTATCACCATAACAGAACCTGTCTTAGTAGGCTGCACTGAAGATTTAATGAGACAAAGCATGTTCCCAGCACAAAATAAGTGCTTGATGAATGTTAACCTAACTCCAAAGCCCAGCCCACATACAGAGACTTAAGCTGAGCAAAAGGGCCCTCAAGGTATACAAAGCGTTTGGATTTTCTCATCCATACTTACTTGCTTTTTTTTTTTAATGAAGAATTTAAAAAAAAAAAAAAGGAAGGGAGAGAGAGAAACATCAATGTGAAAGAGAAGCATCAATCAGCTGCTTCCTGCACACTCCCTACTGGGGATTGAGCCAGCAACCTGGGCATGTGCCCTGACTAGGAATCAAACCAGGACTTCTCAGTCCATGGGATGATGCTCAATCCACTGAGCCACACTGGCCAGGCTTATTTGCTTTTCATATAAGCCTCAATGGGGTGCCTGTGATTATCCACATTTGACTGGTGAAATAGCAACAGAAAAGTGAATAGACTTCAGTGATCTTTCAGCTGGTTTGGAGCAGGGCCTGGATTCTGTTTCAGGCTCCAGCAAGTCCTAGAAGTATAGCTTCCGTTTTCCCAATAGTGAGATTTGAGTTTGGATCCCTACTTTGCTTCCTTTTAAGCAGGTTACTTAGCTATGTTGGGGGGGGGGGTGAGGTAAAATGAGAGTGATCCTGCTCACCTTCTAGATTTGTTGTAAAATCAACCAATCAACATAAAGTGCCTTACTCTTGGCTGGCCTTGAAAAGGCCCAATGATGGAAACTGTAATCTAGTAAAGGGAAGGTTCAAGGGCTGTAGTTCTTGCCTTCACCACTACACAGAGCTCAGGTGAAAAGAGCCCTTCTCAGAAAATGACAGAAAAGGATAGCCTGAGACAGCCAGCCTGAGAAACTAACCACCAGCCAGGACTTCAAAAGTTCAAATTAACTGACTAGGGAGACAGGTCCCCTTCACCAGATAAACCATCTTGGTACAGTGACATCTGGAAGTTAGTAAGGATAACCATGAGCTCTAGCAGAAGAAATGCCTTCACTTAAGTGCTTACTTCAGACAACAAGTGGAACCATCTTTCCAAGAGAAGTTGGACATCCTGGATCAAACTTGGGCTCTTTGCTGGCAAGACTGCCAATGCACCATTCCAGGGGAACGTGCCTCCTAGAGTTGTGTGCAGCAATGGGGAATTGCAGTCAACAACATACCCTGGCCTAGCCCTCACCTCATTCCAGTGCTGTTGCAGGCAGTCATGGTTGCTTTGTGGAATTCAGGCCAGGTTTTTTTGTTTTTGTTTTTTTAAATCCTCACCCAAGGACATGCTTAGAGAGGAAGGGAGAAACATCAATTGGTTGCCTTCTGTACTTGCTCCAACCAAGGACTGAGCCCGCAACCCAGGTGTGTGCCCTGACTGGGAATTGAACAGGCAACCTTTCAGTGCACAGGATGAGCACTGAGCCACTCTGGCTGGGGCAGGCCAGGTCGTGCATCAAAGTATGAGCTGGACTCTCTAAGCACCTACCCCAGGAATTGTTCACTGTGGAGGCAAAGTTGGGCTTACTTCACCACCTACTTTACCTTGGGCAGACTGCAGGTCTCATTTGACACAGGCATAAGAAGGCTTTCTTTCACAGGGATAGCACGAGGAGTCAAGTTGGGAAAGCTGCTTCACAAAAGGGCAACCCACAGATACGGGTATGCTCGGGAGGGGAGGGTGCTTTCAATTCCAACAGTATTCTGACAGGGACCTGCTGATTCTCTTGCTACTAAGGATCTGATTCCACCCTCATTGAATCCCTCATCTATTGGAATCATTCCTTCCCTCCATCACATCTTAGCCCAAACCCACACTTAGAAGAAAGGGGAATGGAGAATCTAGCTGACCCTTGAACAACATGGGGTTGAACTGCGCAGGTGAACTTATATGTGGATTTTTTTCAATAAATACTGTATATTGTCTTGTTTTAAAACATTTTCCCTCTTGCTTATGTTATTATAATAGAACATATACTACATATAAAATATGTATTAATTGGCAATTGTTGGCACGGCTTCCAGTCAATAGGCTATTAGTAAATTTTCTGGAATCAAGTTATTTTAGACTGCAGGAGGGTGGGGGAGTTAAAGGTACCTCTAACCACCCCCTCTCTTGTTCAAGGGTCAACTGTAAATAGCTCTTAGTTTTTTCCCAGCAAACAAAAATATAAAAAGTGAAAGTTCTCCAATACTCAACCCTTAAGATTCATCAAGAGGGCTACTATTCATGTTACCGATTATAACACTTATTACCTCCACCTCTGTCAGAGTCCCTCAGAAGTTCCAGTGTTGGAGGTGGGAGAAGGGGAGGGATGCTTAGTCTTTAATGGCTTATTAGCAAGCCACCCATTTTTCAATGACTTATTGTCCCTGGAGTGGAAGTGGCAGTACACTTCCGATCTCCCTGAAGGGCAGCAAACCACATGAACCCTTCAAATCTCACCAAGGCCCCAGCTGTCTGTCCTGCCTAGGGAGAGGTCTAGTGAGCTGGATATCCTCCTGGGGGCTGAATGAAGAGTCTACCTCATGCCTTACAATCCCCACACTTGGTCTGCAATAACAGTTTGGGAGGGCTTGAGTGGAATGAACAGGGGTCCCCTTTTAAAAATGAGGAATTACTTCCCTTCTAGTAAATGAGACATTAGAAACCACTATAAACGAGTAGGACAAGATCAAATGGTGAGTTTTTTCTTTTTACTGGTTTATAATAATCTTAAAAACCCCATCACACCCATAAACCACCACAGGCGAGATGAGGGAGATGGAGAATGAATGCTACAGTATGTGGACAGCTCAAGGAATCCCAGTATTCCCTAGGGGCAGTGTGAGATGGAGGCAGGGATCATGGATAGGAGGCCCTGGTTTGGCCTCTTATTGCTGGTTGGGGGTTGGCTGGCAGAGGGGTGAGGGATTCAGGGTGAACTAGGAAACATCTCACACCAAAGGTGAGGGCAGGTGGGGGGGTCACAGTACATTTTCCATGCAGATTAGGGGTGGGAGTGAGAGCTTCAGAGACTTGCACCCCCACACAGGAAGAGATGGGTTTGAGGTTTGATATAAAGTCCCCAAGTTGGTATCTGGTCCAATTTCCCAAAATGGCAGCTCACCTTTCGGGGAGAGGCATTAGAAAAAAAAACACAGCAAAAATATCTGGTTTGGAAGTCAAGCAAGGGATAAGGGGAGACAGTAGTGCTTTCTTAATTTAACTCGAAGAAGGAAGAATTGGAAGGGGGCCCTGGGTGAGATGGTGGTCAATACCTTGGGAGAAGGCATTGCACCAGAAGAACCAGGTGCTCCTGGGGGCTCAGGGACAGGGAGGTACCAGTGTTTACAGACGTCAGGAAAACAATCAGGAACAATAAATTAGGACTTCATGTTGCTATCATTTGGCATAACACAATCAGGCTTTTTTTTCTTCTCTTTTTAAATATAAGGCAACTTGCCAACACATAATTTAAAAACTGGTCTTCAGTCACATTGCTTCAGATCACTAGAGAACTTCTGGCTAAAGAACAGTGGAGAGTATAGTAAACAAAACCCAAAATTTTAAATAAGAACATCAACTCACATTCCCCAGAGACAAGAGGAAAGGTAAGGGCTTATTTGGTTTAAAAAAAGAAAAAGAAAAAAAAAAAGCAGAACCCAACTATGTATCTTTAACAGAAGGGTGCAAAAAAATTAAAACATAATCTAAGTTTAAAATTACAGAAAAGTTTAAGCTTCTATCCAACTAATTGTCACATGGGAATGAGATGCGTTGAGCATGGAGTGGGTATGAGTGAAGAATGGGCAAGGGGCAATGGGCTGTTTCCAATGTACACCCATCTTCAGCTGTTATAACCATGCTCATTTGGTAAAGGGAGAATCAAAGAGCTTAAGGCTTTGTGTTTTTCTTTCTTTCTTTATCAAACTGAGGGGCTGCGAAAGGAGGTGTCTAGAAGGTGAATGTACCTGTGGGGCCACTCACACACAATGCTATTCAAATCCACACTACATTCATACAGAAACATGACATTTAAAACTTACAGTGTAGAGCAATATTCTTAGCCAGTGTAGAGAGAACCAAAATGGTGTGTGTGTGTTGTTGTTTTGGTGTTTTTTAATTCCAAACTCCAATGTGATCATCCTTTACCTGCCTAATTCCTCAAGTAAGATCAGTTTTTTTGATGGGGTGGGGGATGAGGGCAGAAGGTGAGTTTGGAGAAGCAACAGCGAAAAAGGGATCTTGGGTATGCTGGATGGTCACTGCATTTCTCTAGGGCGGAAGGGAGAATCAGGAACCAAGTTAACCAACACAAAGACACATTTTCCCCCATGTCTCAAGGCTATGGCCAAGTGCCTGCAGGATGCCCTTGAGAAGTGTGGCAAGGATAAGTTTAGTGGCTCTGGGATCAATATAGATATAAAACAAAGCCTTGAAGAATGGAGAGAGGCTAAGAAGAAATGAAAACTGGTCAGTTTTGATTTGAGGTCTTTGGGATGAATAAGGAATTAGCTTCCAGAGCACTTGGTAAATCTGGCTTCTTAGTCCCAGAGAAAGAGACAAACAGGGAGAGGCCTAGTTTAGGGGGCTGGGGACGTACAGCTACCTCACCTAGGGCCCCTTCCTTAGCTCTCCTCAGTCCTAAGGGAAATCGGCAGAGCAGGAAAAGACAGGAAATGGTGGGAAATGCAAGGGGGCTGAGGGGAATGGACACGGCATAGGACTGATAGGCAGGCAGTGAAGAAAGAAGCCTGGGATTGGGATTAGATACTAACATAAACTCAGAAACTGCTGGGGCTGATGGAGGGGAGAGGATGAGCGCAGAGAATCCCCCTCTGTCCTCAATTAGATCCCACTGAATTCCCTTTCTTAGACATCTAAGAATGATCACACTGGAGCAGTAAAACTTTGAAACTATCCAATTACTCAAAAGTAAGACTAAACCTAGGATTGGGTGTATGATGTGTAGCTTGTGGAGGGCACCGGGCTACCTATCTATATCCAGGGTGCTGAATATGAAGACTTCGACTATCTGTGGGATCAGGGGCTCGGTTGCCAGGGGCTCGGTGAGCCTTGCTCAGCATGGCCAGGCTCTGTTCTCGGAAGCAGGCCTGCTGGAAATCCCCACTTAAGTAATCCACTGTTTGCATCAAGCTGTTCTGGCTTGCCACTGGACCGCCCCCGGTCCCTGCTCGGTAGTGGGCCCCAGCAGCTGCTGCACAGTCGAGGGGTGCACCTGTGGGCTGCCCACCATGGAACGGCATGGTGAGGTCCTGAGACCCCGAGCTGTCGCTATTGGGAGTGGGCAGAATGTTGTTCCACAGGGGTTGGAAGTAGTGACCATTGGGATAGGCCAGTGGGGCTGCCAGGCCGTTGACTGGTGGGGATGGGGTTGGTTTCTCCATGGGTGGCTTCAAATGGAAGGACTGTGCCAGACAGAGTTCCTGCGGGTAGGCAGGGGCCTTGCCCACAAAGCCAGGCCCTGCCAACTCGCGTCCTGTTGCATGCTTGCCTGTCAGGCCAGGGGCCGGCGTCCCACCAGCCTCACTGCACATCTGTTGTAGGTGGGCCAGCTGATGCTGGTTCCAGGCAACTGGCTTGAGGTCGCTAGGGTAGCCAGTGGGGGCTCGAGAGATGCCCGTGGGCAGGTTGACAGGGCCTGCAGCAGGCAATGCGGCTGTGGCCGCATGGGTGTGCTCCATGGGATTGACCACACATGAAGGCATTGGTGTGGGGACGCTGTGGGTCGACACCCGGGTGCTTGCATTGATGAGCAGACTGCGACTAATGGGGCTGGGGTTGGCGATCTGGCCCTCACACACTGAGGTAGTGCTGATGCCTGCCCTCGTCTGGCAAAACTGGTTGATCTGGTGCACAATGCTGCTCAGGTCCGGGGGCTGGCTGTGCTGCAGGGTGGCCGCCATTGAAAGGGGGATAGTTGAGGTAGACACGGTCACATTCGGGGGGGCATCTGAGTCTGGCATCTTCCGGCCTCCATGCAACAAGGGATTGGGGGGATGCTGGAGACCTTGGTGAGACAGACCCTGAGGGTGGACCAAGCCCTGGGTTTGGGCCATGGGCTGAGGGTGGCCCAGGCCCTGAGGCTGCTGGAGGCTCTGAGGGTGGGACAGCGCCTGGGGTGGCGGGATACCCTGAGGGTGCTGCAGCGTCTGGGGAGGGGCGTGGGCCAGGGTCTGTGCATGCTGCAGTGCCTGCTGGCGGGCCAGAGCCTGGGCCTGTGGGTGGGCTAAAGTGCTGGGTGCCACAGTAGCATAGGGCGCCACTGGGGGGTTCATGATGGCCTCAGGGAGCAACCGGGCTCGGGTGCCGTCAAAGTCCTTGAGTATGCTTTTGGCTGGCACTTTGACAATGGCAAGCAGGCCTGCCTTGGTGGCAGCCTGAGTCGGGTAGGGGCTGTAGCGCTGGGCTGATGTGTCGAGGCCGTTCACAGTACGACGAACGTGTTTCCGCTGGGGAACCTTCACACTGTTAGGGAAGATTTTTATAGTCAGTGGGTTGTTTGCGACCTTCTTAGCATACGCGTCCAATTCGGCTGGGGTAGGATAGTGAGCAGTTCTCATTTTCTGTGTAGTGTCCCCTAGAGAAAGAGAAGGGGAAGGAGAGCAAAGAAGTAGAGGGAGCTTATCAGTGCCAAGCCAACCAGCCCTTCTAGATCCCCCTTTTGAGTGCATGGGGGGAGGGACAGGGGGCTAGGTTGTCATCTCTAGTCTTCTTGTCAGACCCAGCCTCAGGCCACATGATAACAGCAGTTTTAACATTTAGTCACTACTTATAATGGGCCAGGCCTTGTGCTAAGTGACAGGCTATCTCAACGAATACTTGCTACTGCTTTAGGAAACAGGTACTATCATCATTCTTATTTTACAAATGACATCACTAAAGATAGAAATCGCAGAGCAACTTTCAAAAGTCCAGTATCTGGCAGAGCCAGAACTTGGCCAATTCTCACAGAGGCAACCAAGAGTTATTCTTTTCCGACATGGAACTCTCTTCAAGTTGTTACCAGCCCATGCTGGCCTAGGGGTTGATGATTCTAAGCAGAGCTGCTTGTCAGAGCCCTCAGTCTCTTTCCCCAAGACTTCCTGGTAAAGAGGGCACCCACAGTGACTACTCTTTAACGAGACATCAGCTTTCTCCTTAGCCTTGGCAGCTGCGGCGTCATGCCCATTGGGCGGGTATCCTGACACAGAAGACAGAATGCTTCTTTTTCAGGAGCAGAGGAATAAGCTGCCAACATCTCTCCCCCACCTCATGTCACAAGTTCACTTTTGTTTACAGCTTACTCTCAGCCTGAAGATCAAAAGGCTTTATTTATTTCTCTGTGTGTGTGTGTGTGTGTAGGGGATGGGGGGCAGTAATGACAGGGCAGCAAGGAGGGAATTTGAGAAGGAAGGATTCAGAGAATCTTTAAGTCCTAAGAGCCAAAAATAGTCTGTATTGGCCCTTGTCAGCTGTCACTTTCCAAAATGAAAGAGGAAAAACCTGCCTTCTTTTGGAGACTGCGGAAATACCCACTCAATGGGCCTCATTAATGTTAACAGTCTCTTTGTTCCCATCTTCAGTTGCCTCCCAGGGAAAGGGGGGGGGTGGGGCAGACTCCAGCGGATGTTGTGCTTCTAGTCAAAAAAGGAAAGGTTCTGAGAACAAGAGCTCTTTCAGGATGCCAGGCTCCTGCAAGGGGTCTCTGCTCTGTTATCCCTCTCTCTGAGGGAGGGTCTCCCCTGAGTATACACAGAAGGTGTTTAATAAAGGCTTCCTGAGTGAGTAAGTACACAAACTGCCCAAAGCCGAAAGAAAGAGGCTTGGCTGGGAGCCTAGGCTCAGCTAGCTGACTCCCTCCCTACTTCCTCCCCTTGCAGAAGGCAGCCATACAGAGAAGGGACTAAATTGACTGAATGCTCAGCTTGTGGCTTCAGCTGGCTTCGCTCAAGGAGATCTCATTTCAGAATCACGTCACCGGGCATCAACTGGAATAGAAGTAGGCTAGTGAGTGTGCTAGAAGGAAGAGAGCACAGCTGCCGTCCTTTGGTGACATTGCTGGTTAGCTGGCAGGAATTGCTTAGAAACTGCGCTCTTGGAAGCAGGAAAAGAAAACTCAAGTCTAGGACGGGCAGAGAATTCCGGACCACATTCAAAAAGGTAGAACTTAGCAAAAAGGGTACACAAAGAAAAAGGTTTAATGCTTTCAAATACTGGAGCAATGCCTTGTACTTAGTAGACAGGCAAACATATTTAAGGGTCTGCTTTATTTACTGAGTACAGAATAAAAGCTCTACCCATAAACGAAATGACTGTAAGATGATATATTTAAAGAACATCTTAAAATGATGAATGTGATGGTAACAACTGAGGGCAGGAATGAGAGGGAGGCAGAGAGACCTAGAAATCTTTTCCATCCACAAGGTAGCACTAGCTGGTAAGGTGAGTCAAAGCTCTGAGAGCAGAGTCTGAGTTCTGCTTTTTATTTATTTATTTATTTATTTTTTGTTGATCCTCACCCGCAGATATTTTTCCATTGATTTTTAGATAGAGTGGAAGGGAGAAAGAGAGACATCGACTGGTTGCCTCCTGCACGACCCCAACCAGGGCTGGGGATTGAACCTGCAATCAAGGTACATGCCCTTGACTAGGAATCGAATCTATAACCCTCTGGTTCATAGGCCGATGCTCTAACTGCTAAGCCAAACTGGCCAGGGCTGAGCTCTGTTTTATAAAAAATATGTTTTTATTTGTTTTTAGATAGAGAGGAAAGGAGGGGGGGAGAGAGAGAGAAAGAAACATCAATTGGCTGCCTGCTGCATATCCTCCTCTGGGGATCGAGCCCACAACCCAGGCATGCGTCCCAACCAGGAACTGAACCTGGACCTCTCAGTCCGTGGGACAACGCTCAATCCACTAAGCCACACCATCCTGGTGAGTTCTGCTTTTTACAGGCCACTGTCCCTTAATGGGCTTCAGTCTCCATAAAATGGAGCCATTTTCTAACCCTTCTTACATTTTACTGGAAAAGAAGACACCAAAAAAGTCTAGAATCACTGATAGTTCCTAAACTCAAGGTACCAGAATCCCATCAGAAACTGCCCCGGTCAGCTGCTGTACTTAGGTGTCTGTTTGACTGCTTAAAATTATGTGACACTCCTAGCGTAGTGTCTTACCCAGAGCAGATATGTAGTAAATACTTGTTAAGTGCCATCAGTATAGGTACCGCCTGACAGAACAACTGGGGCTAAGGGATGAGAATTAGAAGCTACTGGGTTTCAGTTCAGACAGGAAGTAAAGGTCGGCCCCTAAGCTTTCCTCCATGTTAGTGGTCTTTTCCTCCTTGAAGGCCAAGTTAGGAAGGTTTACAGTGGCTTGTTGAATACTGAAGTTCCTTTTGAAAGGTTTTTTTATTGATTTTCACTTTTATTTATATTTTAAAAAATGTATTTTTATTGATTTTTTTTTAGAGAAAGAGGGGAAGGGAGAAAGATAGAAACATCAATGTGAAAAAGAAACATCTTTCTCTTGGCTGTCTTCTGCATGCCCTTTACTGGTGATCGAGCCTGAAACCCAGGCATGTGCCCTGACCAGGAACTGAACCTGGACCTCTCAGTCCATTGGAGGACACTCAATCCACTGAGCCACACCAGCTAGGGCCATTGGTTGATTCTTTTTTTTTTTTTTTTTTAACTTATCTTTATTGTTTAATGTATTACAGATGTTCCCTACACCCTTGATTCCCTCCTTCCCAATCACTGGTTGATTCTTGTTATGTGCCCTGACTGACCAGAGCTCAACAGAATTCCACTGTTTCAAGTCAGTGCCAATTCTCAGGTTAGTTTTTTTCTAGCAGAGGCAGAAGGGAGTTTGGCCTCATTCAGGAGTATAAAATGGGACAATGACACTTCTTACTTTTTTTTTTTTTGGTTAATCCTCACCTGAGGATGTTTTTCCATTGAATTTTAAATAGAGTGGAAGTGAGGGAATGAGAGAGGAGGGAGAGAAAAAGAGAGAGACACATAGATTGGTTGTCTCCTACACAACTCAACAAAGGCCTGGGATCAAACCTGCAACCTAGGCACGTGCCCTTGATGGAATCGAACTGGAGACCTCAGGCTGAAGCTCTAACAGCTGAGCCAAACTGGCCAGGGCTCTTCTTTTTTAAAAAATCCTCACTCAAGGACATGTTTTATTGATTTTAGAGAGAAAGGAAGGGTGAGGGAGAGAGAGAGGGAAAACATTAACATGAAACAGAAACACTGATCTACTGCCTCCCATATGCACCGTGACTGGGGATCACACACCTATAACATGGCTATGTGCCCTGACCGGGAATCAAACCTATGACCCTTCAGTGCACAGGATGACACTCTAACCAACTGAGCCACATCAGCAGGGCTGTTAGTTCTTGTCCTGCCTCCACTGATGTTGACAGCAGTGATGAGGGCAGTCAAATAAAGGGATCAGAATCAAAGGGAAGTTATGGTGCGGAGGGGAGGGTAGACATGGGATACAAACAGTATTTTTGTTAAGGAAAAATCTCAATGATGAGATGAGTATATTGGACAACAAGCCACATTCTGGGAATTTGGCCCCACCCACCTAACTTACCAACCTAACCCTTTAAAAAAGTCAAGATCTTCTTAATACTTTATCTCAGTCCTCACACACAGGCACCCTGGAGCCTTACTTGCTTTGGTAACATCTCAAGTGCACAGCTAACACAGATACCACAGCTTTGTAAGCAACTTATTTAAATATCAAATACCAATGGAGTCATTAATCAAGACATAAGGCAGTATAAAGAATAGGGAAGTCTGGCCAGTGTGGCTCAGTGGTTGAGCACTGACCCATGCACCAAGAAGTCGCCGGTTCGATTGCTGGTCAGACACATGCCCAGGTTGTGGGCCAGATCCCCAGTGGGGAACATGCAGGAGGCGGCCAATCAATGTTCTTTCTCATTGATGTTTCTATCTCTCTCTCCCTCCCTCTCACTTTCTCTCTCTCTAAAAAAATCAATAAAGGAAAAAAAATTAAAAAAAAAAAAAAGATGCCCTGGCCGGTTTGGCTCAGCAGTTAGAGCGTTGGCCTGTGGTCCCAAGAGACCTGGGTTTGGTTCCTGCTAAGGGCATGTACCTCGATTGCAGTTTGTCCCCGGCCCTGGTGGGGTCGTGCGGGTGGCAGCCACTCGATGTGTCCTTTTCACGTCGATGTTTCTCTCTCTCTCTTCCACTCTATCTGAACAAAAAAATGGAAAAATTCCTCTGGTGAGGATTAAAAAAAAAAAAAGAATAGGGAAGCCTGACCAGTGTGGCTCAATGGATTGAGCACTATCCCATGGACTGAGAGGTTCTGGTTCGATTCCTGGTCAGGGCACATGCCCATGTTGTGGGCTCAATCCCCAATAGGGGGCATGCAGGAGGCAACTGATCCATGTTTCTCTCTCATATCAATGTTTCTATCTCTCTCCCCCTTCCTCTCTCTCTAAAAAAAATCAATTAAAAACATTAAAAAAAATAATAGGGAATATGTGATTAGGAAAAAAGAGAAATGCAGATTCAAGTACTGGCTTTATTATCTAACTACCCAGGTCTC